TGAACTGTATCATCTCAGGATAGGCACACAATTTAAAATACTACCTCCTATATTCCACACGTCCTCAACTGTAGGCTCTACAGCAGTGGTTCTCAACCTTCCTCATGCTGCGACCCTTTAATACAGCTCCTCAGGTTGTGGTGAGCCCAGCCATAACATCATTTTCATTGCTACGTCATCATCACTGTCATTTTGCTACTGTTATGAATTGCCATGTAAATATCTGATATGCAGGATGAATTTTCATTGTTACAAATTGAACATAATTAAAGCATAGTGATTCATCACAAAACAATGTCATTATATAGTGTGAAGTATTTATTTGTAATGACAAATAAATGAAATTTTGTCTTGAGGCATGGTGTAGCATGGCTACTCGTATGTGGGCGTATCTGCATGTGGGCGGACCCGCCTGGAGATGGATAGAGAAGTGGTGTATCTGTTCCTAAGACCATCACAAAGATGTGTTTTCTGATGGTCTTAGGCGACCCCTGTGAAAGGATTGTTTGACCCCCCCAAAGGGGTTGTGACCCACAGGTTGAGAACCACTGCACTAATAGGTAAAAGCACGCTCAACAGTACTGAAATGCCACATACCTAGTCGGGCACTGCTGGTAAGGGTGCCAGGGGGAATGGACAGCAAGAGGTTTCATCTTAGTGTTGGACCGTCACCTTGGGCCAAGGGAGGGAGCACTGTTTTTCTGGGCATCAATTTCTTGACCTTCAGAAGAGGGTGATTAAGCCATCATTGGGTCTCATTTGAGATCTGACGTTCTGTAGTAGTATATGTTGGAATCCTTGAGCAAGCTGACTTCCCCTTCTTCCCCACGGAGGTGGAGGGCATCACTGAAGATGCCTTAAGAACCCCTGGTCTACCCTTACAGGAGCTGGGAAAACTGTCTGCCCCATCCCGGACTCCCAGGGCACAGAGCCGTAGGTATGTATGTGTTCCAGGGAATGTTCAAAATGCCATGGCCAAATATGGTCAAAGAGTAGGTTCCAGAAGGTTCCATGACACCAATTCTCCTCTCCCCACTAGGCTCTAAAGAGAAATGTGGCAGAGACTGTTGAGTTAGTGGGAACCTTCTCATACTCTGAGCCCAGGTGGGGAACTCTCTCATTTCAAATGTAACCCTTCTTACTTCCTCCTACAACAAATGAATTGCAGAACTGTTAGTTAAGCAACAATTCTAAAAAATCATCAATCATTTGTTTGGCTTTAACTAATTATATAATGAATTCAATTATCAGCTGGGCAATCCAGAGCAATTTATCAGCAGCTCCCCCCCTCCCCCATATGATCTCTCCCCTTGGCACCTGGATGAGTCTTAGGTTTTCAAAATCCTGAACTGAACGATGTTCATATTACTATCTCCTCCTTTTGACCAACGTGACCGCTAATGAATCAAACCATTGCCCTTCTTCTAGGCACCCAGCCAAATCTCGACCACACATCCCACTAACTAGGCTTCCAATTTGTTTAATAGGCCAAACAAGGGTCTCTGAGGGCAGGCACTCTGTGCTGTCACTCACTCCCACAAGGTGCAGACGGCTCTCCTCATTGGGACTTCTCTAAAGCTAAGATTGTCCCCTGAAGGAATGTTGAATGGAAGATGACAGGACGGAAGGGAAGAGAGTGGTTTCAGAAATGATTGCCCTCCAGAGGAAGGGAGATAAGGAAGGGGCTTCGCCATGAGGACAGACACTGGCTGTGGCGCTGGCACCCAGGGCTAGCGAGCATCAGCAAGGGGAGGGGCCCTAGGACAGAGATCACTCTTGTGCACGCCACATATCGGCCCCTGCCGAGGGGAAGAGAAGAATACCTCCACTGCCCCTCTAGCTACTCAGGATGTTTGTTGCTGAGAGCAGGGCCTGATGCTCCGTCCAAGAGCCTAGCTGAACAGCGAGTTCTTGCCACGCCCTCTCTGGGATGGAATGAAGGCGATCTTTTAGAAGGAAGGGAGAGACCCAGTCACTGGCAAGGGAACGGTTAGGCCAGCATCGCTGCCCTGTGCTCTCTGCTCCAAGAGGCTCAGGAACTTCAGAGCTGGGAGTCCATTTAACCTCTGCAGCCCGAGGTGGGCTCAGCCAAGGAACCCGAGGAAAAGAGGATAAAGGGACCACTCTCTTTCCTCTTCATTCACATCCATGGCCCTGAGTCTTCTCTCTCACCCAATCTGAACCTTTACTGGTACAGAGCTACTCCTACCCTGCAGCATATCTCATTTACTTCCAGAATGCAGACGCCAGCCTTCCCATACCCATGAGCCAGGTGTTCCAGACGCAGGATCCCTACGAGGGCAGATGGGCCAAGCCTCTTCTAACTGTGCTTTAGTGACACCTGGAAAATCAGATTCAGGGGAGTGGGAACAGCATTCGTCAGGCACCCCAGGGTTCACACTTCTCGTGCCAGGCCTTCCCATAGGAATGCTCTGAGATGGTGGCAGTCACCCCACTCATCAGATGGAAAGCACGTAATGACAGGTCAGTTTAGTCAAAATGGTGTGGTTTCCAGCTGTGGTTTCCAAAATCACCAGCTTGCCGTGTGCCAGGGAGCCTGTTCCAGCTTGTAGGGACCCTACAGGAGAGAACAGAATCGCTCCACGGGCTTTTCTAGGCTGACATCTTGACAAGAGCAGATCATCAGGCTTGTTCCTCCCCTAGTGCCTGGTGGGTTCCCATGGCGAACCTTTCAGGTAGCAGAACCGTTGTGCCACCAGAGTTCCTTGAAATCAAGGAAGTTACACAGTACACACGCACGGACACCAAATGTCTTTTTCCTCTCTTACAGATGTGAGATGCTGAAACACATTTACCCATCCAGGTAAATGTTAGACCGAGTGAAAAGAGCACCGTAGGAAGTCAGGTTGAAGACGAAAATTCTGGGAGAGCTGCAGGAAGGTCACAACAGAATGGCCCTCTACTACAGATATGCAGCCAACTGTAGCATAGAGCCAGTTCAAGGTTAGGTGAGGGTAAACTCGTCTAGGTTTAATTGGCTATTATCTCTTGAAATCTCTCCCTCCATGTGTCTTAGTTACACAAGTTAGAATTTCTATTAAATACAGTTGGTGTTCAAACACATAGTTCTGGTGATCACACATCTAAGCTTCTACATGGACAGGAGAAAGAGATGTGTTATTTAACTCAGTGCAACTCTGCCTTTCAAACTTGAGTTTTAATTTATTGCCATCATTAACATCCCAGATGCCATTCTCTGAATGGTCTCTTCCTTACTCTCCACAATACACTACTGCTGACCCTGGGCTATTCAAGTTACCTGCACAACTTGCTGTACATGAGGCCAAATACCTAACAGTGATGCTATCTGGGTTTGGCCCTAACCCAAAGTATTCATATAGGACAGTACTTCACATTCAGAGTTTAGTATAGGTTACCCAAGTAGAAATTTTTGCTTCATTGTTTGGTCACTTGCAACCAAGAGAACTGTTTGTATTTGGGTTCTTCTAGTTAATTCAGCATAAAACATTTACAGGAGATACTCTCCTGTATGAATAAAGCAAAGAACAGAGCTGGGATGGGGGGCAGACATAACAGAGATTAGTTGCCCCACCTTATGAAAATGAAGGTTAAAGCTTTCCCTTCCTTGGAATTGTTCCTATAATAGTCAAAAGCTGCCAACCCAACACTCCCATCAGGAACCAGTGGCAAACTTGGAAGCCATTATCACTGACATGTAATTGCTCAGCACCAAAGCCTGCGTGTCAACTAAATAAAGGCTTGTTGAGTCTAACAATGAATATGAGCAGGCCACTCCCAGCAACTCCGCAGACCCTGGGAGAAGAAACCATCCTTGAAGTTTTTATTCCTGACTGTCCTGTCCCACAAGGCAAGGCACGCAGCACAACAGAGGAATTCAATAAGTATTCATTGATTGCCCATCTTCACAAAAAGCTAAATCAAATGGTTGCAGAAGAGAAGCCACAAACAAGTGTTAAAATCGTTATCACTGATGAACCTACGTGGAAAAACTGAGGCTTTGGGGAGGGGAAAAAAAGCACAGTATGAAGGTCACCCAGACTTTAAAAAAAAAATGCTGTGACAAAACTACACCGCCCTTAAAATGCACATTGGTCATATTTGTCAGAGAATTGTCCACATGTTCTAAAATCAAGATCCACCAAATTGGACGCCTTTGTTCCCACTATGAACAGTAGAGAAGGGCTAATCGTCCTTGACAATCTATTAAAACTGGTGAGCGCTTTTCTCTCCCTTCTTTTTCCTTTTCTTTTGAACCCTGGGAACAGGATCCACTTCGTCCTTCTCCAAAACGCCCCTCAAATAGCAGTGGGGGGTATGGCTCTAGGAAGGCCCCGTCGAGATACTTAGAGGAACTTTGTTCTCCGTTTCCTCGGGTGACTCCACATTCTCCCTCCTCTTCTCACGCGGCCAACAACAGTTATGGGTGGAGAGCAGCTCCTCCGGAGTGGCGCTGACCATGGTGCTGGCCTCCGATCTCGGGACCCGAGAGCTCAAGGGGCAGCCAGAGAGCGCTCAGGGCTGGGTAGGGAACCCAGACCCTTTGGACCCCGGAGGAACTTGAGGGCCTTCACGCGAACCCCTCCTCCGCACGCTCTGAGCTGCATCAAAAAAGGGTGGGGCACCCAGCCACAGCTGCAATCGGAAGCCGCCAGGGAGGATTTAAGAAGAATGAAACCGCGGTTCACCGCCCTCCACAAGACCCCCCAGCCAGGGATCAGCCCGTCCTTTACCCCGTACCCCTACCCTCCAACTCCCAGGTCCAGAGAGGTGCGGGCTCGCCTTTGTGGGCGTGCGGCCGCCGGACGAGCCTGCCCGCACCCTGGGCGGAGAAGGGGCGGGGTGGGGTAGGGTGTGTGTGCCGATGCAGAGATATTAAGGGAGGAGCAGCAGCAACGGGGGCACCCCGGATACTCGGGGCTGCACTGAGCTGGGAGGGGGCGGGCACCCCCCACGCGCCCCGTCCTTGGTCTCCACCGCCGCCGCCCCCCCATACCAACCTGGTCGTAGATGTTCTGCAGCGCTTCCTTGCCCGAGGCCCGCCGGATCTCCACCTTCCGGGCCGATTCAACAGATGGCCGGCCCTGCCGGGAGTACGGCGCCTGCGGGTCGGGGCCCAAGTGGGCGACGTCCCGCTGCTGAGCCACCACCTGCCCCGAGCCCCGGCCCACAGACAGCGAGTCGAAATCGATGGTCTTGTTCTCCGAGGACCCTTCCACCGGGCAGAACATGCCACAGAATTTCTGCCGCGGCTTGGGGCTGCCTGAGCCCAGGTTTTTAAAGAAGGCAGGGACCTCTTCGTCCTCTGCCGGCTTCCCGGATTGCTTCCTCTCCGCCATGGCGCGAGAGCTTGGGGAAGGGTCCTCTCCGTCCGTCCGTCCGTCTACCAGTCCCTAAGTCTCCCTCTATCTGTGCAAAAATCCCCCGGCCGCTGCCTTCTGCCTACCGCAAGGTGTACAGAAAGGAAGGAGGGCTTTCCA